GCCTTCTCTCTAAGCTCTAGAGTCTTAAAAGCATTTTGGATGCGAGCCCCCAATATGAAGGTGATTTCTTAAGAAAAAACACAAATGCATCTTCATTTTAGAACACACATTTGAGAAGTCACTGTCCTATACAGGGACTGATGAAATTCTTTCCTTCTGGTCTTTGAAAGAAGTCTAAACTGCCCATTGCATCTTACACAACAAAGTTAAACGACCGCTCAAAGATGCATTTTCTTGTACTCACAGTGTATCCTCAACTACATGCTTCAATATGAAGCTGCATATAAATGGCTAAGGCAGCAAGGGACATACATATTATATAATTATGTATATTATATATATTATATTCCTAAGAGCCCCTGAATAAATTTTCCTAGTGAGATGATAAAAATAAAGGTAAACTTTACTGGAATGGGTACTGTTCTGTAATATATTATATAGTAATTAATTCCAACATTGAATGTAGCACCATTTACATTATGAGTGCTTACAAGGCCTCAGAGTTTTATATTTTGTTTTAGAGCTACTGAGCTCTCACATGCCATTGTAGAGTGAATGTAGTATGAAGCCCTAACTTTTGACTTCCAAATCACAAACATCACTTAAAATGCAGTTTGACTTTCTCCACTGGAAGAACATGGCATGCATGAGTAAGAATAAGATATTCTGATGGTATCGAAAAATCCTGATCTCCACTGTTCTTTATATGATTTGAGGGTTTTTTTAAGCCAATCAAATACTATTATATGGCATGCCATGCTGCCTCACTGTTCTCATGAAACATGCTTTATATAGATAAGTGTTTTGGTTTTTTATTTTTAAAGTTTTTTGTTCCACAATTTTTACCAATGTTATTCCATATATATTGCTATATCTGGAATACATTTTATTTACAGTGGAAACTGCCACCACTCAAATATTCACAAATAAGCAGAACCTTTCACAAATGGCTCTATTAACTTTTTGTCTTCCTGTACAGTATTGGAAATGCATCACTATAGTATTTAAATACTAATTTAATTAAAATAAGATACCAGTGGTTAAGAAAGATTATTCCTCTCCTCTGCCTACCATTCTTAAAATGCAAGGTTGGTATTTCTTCACTTGCTGCTACCCCCTGTGAGGCACTGTGAATTTCAGAGAAATTTTCATCAAATGGTTTAATTTCATGTTCTAGTCTGAAAGGCGTTCAGAACAGCTAACTGATTTTTCAATTACATTGTCTGCAAAGCCATGCTTTAGTAAATAGTACAGGAGGAGCACCTGAAAAGACAGTCTTGTGAAACAAGTTTAAAATATTGCTTAATGGAAGAAGCTGGATTTATACTGAATTAGAAGCCAGCCATGCATGTAAAAGGAATATTCTTCAGCACTGAGTCTCTTGCTCAGGGCTCCAACACTCATATCGGTGATAGAACACAAATGCCTAATTTTGATTTGAGGCAGGGGAGAAGAGAAACAACAAAGCTGAATTACTGAGTTGGCCTAGGCTGGCTCCGCAGAAGCTTAGTCAGAGGTTAAAACATTGACAAGCAGTAGGTTGTTACAGGCAAAATACATTTTTCAGGGAAACTGAGATGGTTCAGGTAGGCTAAGCAATGTTCAGGATCAGACCTGTTCAGGATCAGACCAAGAGATGAGGAGGCAGGAGATTTTTCAATTTCTCCAAGAAGCTTTTATCAACACTGTTCTTATGGGCCTGGTTAGAACCGAAATCTAAGTTATGTGACGGTGTGCTCCCCTGCCCAACCTGACCTTTATCTCCTGTAACCCTGCTTAAGCGATAACTACCAGGGGCAGTCGTTAATGGATGCTGATAGCGATAGCTTTGTCCATTAATGAAGTGGATTCAGGAGCCAGATAACAACACAATAGCCCTTGGTTATTGTGAGAAATACGCCCACCTAACCAGTTATCAGTATGCAAATATGACTATAAGTCAATCATCTTACCCCTACAAATAGTGAGCAGCCCAAGAGCCCTTTGAGCTCTCCTGCAGGGCAGCGGGCTGCACGCCAGGATCTCCCCTTGAGTAGGGACGCCTCTCAAGGTTACTCCTCGAGGTTGAGAGATTCCTTGCCACAGCAGATAAGTGGTAAGTGACTAATAGCATGCTAAACTTTGAAACCTTAGCTAAGTGATATAAAGGATTGATTGCGCATATATAATCCTTTAGACATAAATGGTTGACCAAGTCTGGGACTAGGATTGGATCCAGCTGCACCTAGACTCCTCTCTGAGAATGAGTCTAGAAAGCAAGGGGGTCCTTTCTGAACCTCATGACTCAACGGGAGGGTCTCCCTGACAGTTTTGTCTGACCCTGTCCTCTATGCAGTAAATAATCAAGCATACCTTGCCATCGAATCTTGTTCACTGTCGCATTTACCATTGAACTTTGTTAATTCACTCTTTAACTCACTGTTTTCTATCAATAAAGCATTGTTGCTCCTCTCTTACGAGTGAAGTGCAGTCTCACTCCATCCATGACAAATTACTAATGGCTCTCTTAGATGTAAAGCTGTTTGCATCTACATTGGCAATCAGTGTGCTGGAGGGATTCTCCAGCATTGTCTTAGAGTCTCAAAGTATGTATGTGAGCACATCAGTGTTGTTCCTCAAATCATTCCCCTTCTGATGGAACTGAGGATGAAGTTGCTCACCAGCGTGCCATCATGTGTGTGGCGTTTGTCACGTAGACTAGTGTCCTCCAGCAGTTTGCACTTTGTGTATGCGTTGTGCATACTCAGGGCCAGTAACTGGCATGAACTTCACTGCCAGGTGAAGAACTGATGTTGATGTGGTCTGGCAACCATAATTAATTGCAACAACTCAAACTCCGTTCCTTCTGTCCTTGCAACCTCATCAGTTGGTGATGTAGTAACACCCAGTAGGACCTTCGTTGGGCAGCAACTTGAATCGCTTGACTCAGCAGCCAAGTGTTATTTCTGTTTCTACTAAATTTCTGAAGGATAAAGTCTTGGCCTATCTTCAGCAGAGATCTGTGGTCAAACACCAATATCATGGGACTCTACAGAGTACAGCACACTTCCATTACGGAGCCTGTGTACCATGAACTTTAAATAGATCAAAGGCAAGACTGGAAGCAGAAGGATCCTCTTTGATGAATCCGTAACTATGCAGATCAATCAGTTGTGTTCTATGACAAAGAAATGTTAGCCAGTGCAAAGGCTGATATAGCTGGGAGGCCGTGCTGATAAGCACAATGTAGTTCCGCTCCCAAGTTCTTGGAGGTTGCAATTTTGAGGTCAGTTACTCCAGGTGATTAGACTGGATTTTGCCCAGTTTTAGAGCAGGTACGCCAAAGCAAAATTATTTTAATTTTGCATTAATTTAATAAATAACTAATATCAGTCACAGTAAAAGTAACTTCTATTTTAAACAGCAGTAAATTCTAATAATAGTTACTGCCAGCAAAATTGCACCTGAGTTCACATTTTAAAGATTCAAATATAGCTTGAAAAACAACTAAGGGCTAAAATAGGAAACATTAATAAATATGCCATGTTTTCCCTGTTGAATGATCTCCAAAACAGAAAAGCAGAATAAACTTTGGAGCAAGTAATCTTAAATTTATCTGAAATAGATATTTTTTGATCAATAGCAGAATGAAAAATTGAAGCTAACTGCAGAAAAAGTAAGGTGCTATAGGAGGTGCTATCATTATAAAACTAAGCATATGCACATACATTTACCAAGTCAGTGATCTGTTAGTTTTCAGTAAAAAGAAGAAGAGAGTTTGTAGCTCGTTTCTGGAGAGAAGATTGAAAAGATGAACTCCAGTGAGCCACACAATAAATAAATCATACTGAGTTATCAAATGTTTTATTTTAAAGCCCATATCATGCATTTCTGAGGCTCAGCTCAAGAGTTTGAGCTCCTAGTGTTATACCAATATTATTATAGCCTATTTCACTTTGATATTCCCATGTCTACAGAATTTGGGTTGCAAATAGTTTGAAATACATATTTCAAAACAGCTATTTTGTTTTAGTTCTTGATGTGTCAGAGAAACACTTTCATTAGTTTCAGCTTTTTGTAAATTACTAATTAGTGGCCTCCATTCAAGATTAATGTGTCCTGTTATAATAAAGTAAAATATGTGAAATAAGAACAGACGCTTTGAACAGTGTATTTATGGGAATTTGTTACCATAACTAAGGGGGGGGAGGGCGGGGAGGAAAAGTATCTGTCAATACTTACCAAACTACAAGGAAAAAGAGTGTGATATGCATACCAGAAGCAAAATGAATGTATCACAGCTACACCTGCTTATTTTCCATCACATTTAAGTCAGCTACTAGAAAACAGGTCTAAGCAACGATCTTTAAGACAGTGAACTCACATTAAAGAGATCAATGCAGACTAGGCACTTGCAGAAAAAGTCTCTAGGAATGAGATGGACTCCACCTTCTGAAGGACTATGGGTAAAATGGGAAACATTTATAAATTTTTAAATGGCCATGATTTCACTGCTGGGTCAAAGTGGTTGATAAGCGAATATTTTTATTTGAGGTTACGCTTCCATTGTAAATTACATAACTTAGGCACTGGTGGGTTCTAATGGTTAAAATTTACCATCTCCATATTGCTGCTTTTCAAATACTTTCTCTACATGCACATATGCATTATATATATATATAAACTTATAAGGACTCCCTACTGAAAAAAAAAGTCAGAAAGCCTTTTAAGAAAACAGAGAAACAAGCCTCTAATAGGAGGATATAGGAATATACCTGCACAATGTTTTTAATTCAAATGTTTTCATACTCTTCACCTCAAGATGCACCACGTAATTTAATTTTTCTTTAAGTAAACAGACTCAGGATTTTATTGTGCTATGTAATAAGCACTTCTCCAGTAATTTCTTCTCTTTTGGAACTGTAACTATGCACTCCGCTTCTTAGGGGTTAATGAAACACAGTGATGCATGACATGAATGGCTTATACAGACTGCAGGAAGAGAAGCCAATCACCTTTACCTGAAGTGGGAGACTTGCAACGCTCTAGCTCCAGGGAAACTGGACTGTCACTGAGTTCAGTCAGGCCTGAAAAAATGGAGTTAAAAAGTTAAGTTACAATCTAACAGGGCATGCTTCAACTTTCTTGGTTGATGATATTCTGCACTTTAAAGTAAATTTGGAGAAAGGAATGGTGTGAAATGGAGGGAAATATCTATTTCAGATAACTGCAGTTATCAGGCTGTCACTGCAGAAATTTAGGTCTGGTTTAAAAATCACACCTCTTGTTAACTCAGATTTGTTTTCTGAGTGCCTCAGGGTAGACAAAGAGTGACTGTACCTAACGAGAGAAAACAAGTAAATACTGTTTAAAATTTACATGTCTGTGATATGAATCAAACTCATTGATTCCTGTCAAACCGATGTGGAAACAACTCTATGCTTTCAACTGCTGCAGAATGCAGGGAGAAAACCTTAAAACGGAGGTGGTGGTGGTGGGAAAGACTGAAAAAAAAAAAAAGACGACAGTACTGGTGAAAGAAGAAAGTGAATACAAAAATATCACCACTACTATACAATATTAGGAACTTTTATATGAATTCACACAAGATAGCTCATTTTAAAGGACACAGAGGCAATGATAATGCTGTCTGAATATAACACGGAATTTTTGGTCAAGATACTTTATATATTATTTATAAATATTTGTGAGGAACTCATCTGTAGCAGTCTACTATGGAAGACAGCAACAAGTAAAGTAGTCTTAGTTTATACTGCTTAAGCTTGGCCTTGTTTCTGTGATCAAACTAAGATTCATCTTTGGCACAGGTTGCATGTACAAGTTTAAACATGCCTTTTGGCATGCTAGGGAGAGAAGGTCTGAGCTCATGGTACCCTTCACCATGGGCTAACTGTTGAGTGGGTGAACTGGGCATGGCCATACCTATCCAAATGTACCCTTCGTATGTATCCCATGGTGCGCCCTATGGCCTATATCAAGTGGTCCACACTTGTTATAAAGAGCTCTGACACTTAGTCAAACATCCTATCATGACCTTTCAATATGCTTTTATCTGGTACCATGCCTCCTGCAACGTGACATGTTTTAATTTCTATGCCTTCTGGACCCTCAGGCTCAGAGGACCTCATCCCTAAAATTCATATAGACCCTTGTTTTAAAAAAATTCTGCTACCATTTTGTCACCAATGCTGTTCTCTTTGTATTAAAAACAGTGCAATCTTATACGTAGGTACTTTTTTTTTTTTTTTTTTTTTTACAATGTAATTTTGAACTGCTCTGAGAAATGGGGAGAATCCAGAGCCCCAACAAGCAGAATAAAAAGCTCCTACCACTAATGAAGCTGCATGAGTGCTAGAACAATTTTGCTAGTGCTTTGGAAAAAACAGCAGCATTGATTTGGCCTGTAAGTCAGTAGTAATGACATATTTGCTCCTGACTTCTAAACAACAAAAGATTACAATCTAGATACTAATGTTGAAAAACAAAGATTTTTTATTTTGAGAAACATACTTGAATCTTTCTTTGATTCAACTTAGAATCTGTGAGGGAATTTTATATTCCAATCAATTGTGAATCCAGTCACTTTTGACATTATGATAGAATTCAGGAACTGCAACCATTTAGGGACCCTCTCTGTGTATAGCTTTCTTACAGCAAATCTTACTTCTACCTGACTATAGGGTTTCTGTATGTACCTAGAGATTTGGGACATAATTGATTTTTGCTGCAGAACTGTCTGCAAGGTACAGTGGGAGAGAGTTTGGTGCATTTGCATAGCATCAGAGGCATTGGATAAATAGAATGAAATATTAAACTGTTTCTTTTGCAAATGCAGTATTGGAGATATTAAAATTTTAACACTATGGTTATGATGTTGTGATTAATGGAATTCTTCTAAACCTTGTACAGTTACTATTGGTATAATTACAATGTCGAATGCCAAGTCAGATTTTGCTTCTAAATAGAGTTTCTTTTTTTTTTTTTTTTTTTTTTTTTGGTGAGTACACAGAAACAATATTACAGCCCAATATAAGTTATGGTGCCACTGACTTAAGTAGGAAATGCACCAAGTCGCACCACTGTTCTGAAAACCCAAGAGCAACTACCACAAGCTCTTTATGTTTGGCAACAGTTTTACAATTTACAACAGTAAAGATACATTTCATGTTATGGTATTTAAAAATGGTGAACATGTGAATTTCTCTACAAATCTAGACTTGTTGTCAAGCCACTATCACCTCTTACAATGACCACCAACAGATGCTCTAAAAAAAAGTGCAATGAGTCCCCATGTTAAGCATAAGTGGTACTATGTGCTGCCCTGAACAAGGGCGTTGTCTTAATCTCAGACACTTAGATTTGCTTACGCGCTGCCACTTGCAGATTTTCTCCTGCCATAAATCTTCCTTACTTAGAAATATTATAATGAGTTCTTCTCATTACCCATCCAGGTATCCAAAGTCTCTTTTAATCTTACTAAATTCTAAATCCCAAAGATGTTATATGGCAATGAATTGCACAATCATCATTCACTGAAAGGAATAAACATACATTTGTCAATTTTTACGTGTTACCTTTGATTCCATTAAATGTTGTCTTTTGTTTCCCTCTGAGATAGGAAAGAGCTCTCAAGCTTTTCTTTGTACTACTGCTTATTTTCTACTGTCATTTCCTTTTTAAGGAAACCAAACTAAATCTTTTCAATAATTTATCATGGATAAGTATTTCCATGCAACTCGGCTTCCCTTGAATGTTTGAGAGACTACAACAGCTACTGAAGTTAGATTACAAAAGTATTTTTAGTTTTTCTTTTGAAGGTCTGTAGGCCCAATCTGTGTCCTGAGATATTTTAGCTATTTTTAGCCAAAAAAACCCATGCCAGCAAATTTTGAGTCCAGGTAGAGCAAGAAGAATATAGCAATAAGGGCAAATAACTGAGATTGGCAATGTAAACAACCACCGGTGAGAAGATGTACCCATTGACATTATAAAGAAATTGGCTTTGATTTGAATGAATTATAAACACGTGAAAATAGTGCAAGATGTAAATATACCACATAAGGCATTAAAGCACTTTTAAAGACGTATCCCATGGATACTTTTCAGTTTACTGTGATCCCATTTCCTCTTTATTAAAGGATCAAAAAAATGTACTGTCTAGTATGGAGTAACAACTTTTATGAACTCATGATTTAATTTAAAATTATTTTTGACATTTTAAATTTATATTTCTATGATTAAATGATGCAGACTGATATTTACTTAAAAGCACCCAAAGCCATCACATATTTGCTTATAAATAAATGAATTATAAATAAATTATCACAAATATTCACAAGCCAATAAGTAAGCCCAGTGTTATCTTAATCCACCATCTTCACACTGAATTACCACACTATGTTTTCTTTATGTTTAAATACGATGCATTCTTTGGAAATGACAGTTAGTTCAGAATATAGCTGTCAACTTAAAACTCAACCTATATTAGCTTCTACTATGTTGTCAGGTGTGATTTAAAGTGTCAATTACTGATATGTAATGACTCATAACACACAGTTTTCTGTGTCCTCCTGTCAGACCAAGGTTACTCTTGCTCACATCCTCTCAAGGGATCGGCCTGAAGGAGGAACAAGGAGTTCTCACTGAAAAGTCTTCATTCTGAAAATTATTTTCCAATGGATCAACATCCTTTGAACTTGCCAACTTTCTGGATGCTTCATAAAGACTATTTATTTTCTTGTTTTACCAACAGATGGTATGAATTTCTAGTAGGAGATGCAAATTCCTTTTGCAAGTTGGTATTTTTATATTCTGCTGCAAACACTATCTCTCTAGATGCAGGAAATGTACTTGTTTTAATATTTGAATATATAACATATACAACTTGATTTCAATTGAAGAAACAAACAAACAAACAAACAACAACACAGTTCTGCACTACTGCAGGGAGAGTTTATTTTATTTGGCTTGGCACATATTCTTGCTACAAAGGAAGGTGGCTGCCAGCAGATGTTATAGCAAATGGAATAGGTCATCAACACCAGAAGGCTACCTCCAGCTCTGCACTTACCCTCATCTTAGCCTCTTATTTTCCTCAAATTACTTCCTCTGATAGGACAATTATGTTTCAGTCTCTCCCATTATGCATGCGTAGAACTGATTACATTTCTCCTCCTAAGTTCTTCCCTTCTTGCTTCTCCCTTCCCACTTTTACCTCCCAAACCAGTGAATGTGCTGTCTTAATGCTCTAAGTCCACTCTAGATGCTTTTGAATCTAGCTTACACATGGATACATTACTCTTATCAAGCTCTCTATAGATTTATTGGCTAAAATTCAAAACAATTATTCCACCACTGTGCTTTGCATGTTGGATGCCCTTGACATTGTTGATTATGTCTTTCCTTTGGAAGACCTCTCTTCTCCCAACATACTGCTTCTTTTCCCTGTTTGATGGTTTGTGGTTCCCCCTCCCCCCCCGGCCCTTTCCCTCTTCAGTTGCAAGGCACCCCAGACTGAAAAATCAACACTTCCTTTATCTCTCTGTCCCAGTATTTGAGGAGATTCTCTCCTATAAACAGGGCAATAAATATCTTTTTTTGCCCTAATGATTCATAAATACATATCTCTAACTTGGATTCCTTCCATCCAAGTTAGAGTAGTAATCCTGCCTTTCTAAAATTTATTCACAAGTGTCCAGACGTGAACTTAACATTGCCAAGATGAACTCTATTTTTTTTTGTGCTGAAGTCTTCTCTTCGCTACTTCAACATAGCTAAAAGCACCACTGTCTTCCCTGATACTCTAATCCATAATACTGGTTTCATTCTTGGAACATCACACTTTAACTTTCAGATTCAGGCTGGATAGTAAACTGGACTGTTTCTTCCTGCAAATCACCTCCAAAATGACCAACAAAAGTCTAAGTATCTTGCTTATTGATAATCTCTTTTTTGGTTTCAGTGCCTGCAAGTCTTATCCTCTCAAACTGATCCTCATGAAATTATCTTCCTGGTTCATTACTTAATTGAATCAACTCCCAATATGTCTTCCCATTAACTTCCATTTTCATTTATATAACCCTCAAAACTTTAGACCTAATGCTTATATTATCACATGACTGCATCTTCTTTTGCCTTAATAATATCAGCTTCAACTGCACAATTTCCAAAAATAATTTATTTTTCTTTTCCCATCATCATCCCTTACGAGAAGAGATAAACTTGTAAGCAAAGTCCTAAATCCATTCTCAATACCCCTTTTAAAACTCCTATCTCAGATAAGACATATAGCAAAGGGTAAGTTGAGAATGACTTAGCAAGATATTTTACAGTCTATGACACATTCCTGCCCTGTTCTTTATCTTATCACCTGGTGCATCTTTCAGATCATACAGTACATACTCCTGTATAAGTATCAAATGGCAAAAGCAACAACCAAATAATTTTTGAGGAATGAAATGATGCTGTTAGTGACCTTGCACAAGAGTCAGACTCATACTCCTCAGTCATGATGTATACAGAAAGATTTTGTGGACTTTTCTCATTTGGGGGTTGAAGATGGAAACAAGATAATACATTTTCAGCTATGAAAAACTCTATGGTCTGTGTTTGTCATTTTGAATGAAAATGTTGGTAAATTTTGGTCTTAGAATTTATTAATTTTTTAGTGGGGGGAAACCCCCAAACCTTTGACTGCAGTCTGTCCCTCAGGTTCTCTGTTACAGACTTGAAATTAGCAAGACCAGACTAATAAACTTCAAGACATTATACACCAAACCTTTTTATGGACTGCTGGATTTGTAACTGGACTAGTCTTTTAACTAGACAGGCCACTTTTTATGAAGTATAATGAAATAAAATCATAGAAATCAGTTGTTGAGTAATCAGTCTACAGAGACGGAATAGAATTTCTTGTGTGAGTGTACAAATGTATTTCAATAGCTACATAACGCTGTATTTATGTGAGATGATAAAACAACTGCCACTCCTTTATCTTGCCTATACTGAGTATTTAATGTAAAATTGCCTATCCAGTTGTTCTATGAAAACTACTTTAAAAAGATGAATAAGAGGCATCCTGGAGACCTAATTACATATAAGCACTGCAGTTAATTAAGATACATACAGCTCATCTGTTGAACAGTCATTTTTGAAAAATTAATTATAGCTTTGTTCATCTCATTCTGCAGTGAATACTAATATTTAAATTGCATATCACTGTAATTCAAAATTTAAAGATATTAAAAACATTAATTTTCATAGCTCTCTTTGATGTATGTATTTTTATACCCACTTTACATTCCCCATTAAAGATCAGAGGCATGGAATGGTTCCCCAAAGCCAAATATTGAAGTACCAAACGAAGATTAAAATTTTAAATTTCACAGCACCCAATTCAATTGGTACTGTTTTAAGCCACATTGCTCTTCTGAAAATAGGGAAGAATTAATTAATAACTACAACCAGGCAGTGCCATTGCAAAACAAGAAATGCTTCATATAAGTAGACGTACACTGAAATAAATGTAAAACCAAAGAAAGATACTGTCATCAAGTACGTAACATTGTTGAAAGCTCATTTCTAAGGCCCAATCTGCCCCCTATAAGTCACTGAGGTTTCCTCATTGACTCTTTTGGAAGAAGAAAACAGATCTGAAATATCTGTATAATAAAGGTAATTGTGAAAATTAAGTATGGTTGACATCACAAAATGTAATAAGTTTGCATGCATGCTGAATGTGTTTAAAAAAACACATTACGAAGCACAAACACATGGGTTTAAGTCAGGCATAGTCCAATCATGATAAAGCTATTTGCCTAACCTTTATAGAACTTACTCTGATAGGAAGTACGGATCCGTTTCGTTAAATCTGGATAAAAGTTAGACAGGCCACGCATGCAAAAGTTGTCTTTGGAACATGCCAGTACACCAGCATCAGCAGCAGGCAGAGGAAAGAGAGAAAAAACAGTCTAAAGTGAAAGGAAGTGATATCATAACCAGCACCTAGAACAGCCAAGGTGAAGAAATTTCAGCAGATGCTTACCTTCCAATTGGGAGATACAACAACAAAAATAATCAAAAAAGTTAAGGATGTGGGATGGATGGTGAGAAAGCAGCTGAGCTTTTTTTAGATACATCATTTCTATGAGCGTTCTAGAAGTGTGCATTCCTTCTTAGCAGTCACTTATCCCCAGCGGGCTCCATTCTAGCTACACTGCATAGCTGGAGCATCGCCTTAAAGAATTGGCCAAGACTGTCACCAACACAGAGAAATCCTATGCGGTACAGTGCTGAAAATAGTTATTTCTACATCAGCTACCCTCCACCTTTTGTACAGCGCTCTGCAGCACGTTGCTTGTGACTAGCTGCTCAAATTACTTTGGGAGCTGCTGTGAGGCTGGCTGAACCAGATAGAGAAGCTGAAGGTAGCTTAAAGCTGCTTGTCTCTTCTCTCCTCAGCTGTGCCAAATTTACATCTTCAACACTTGGCACAGATGAGAACTAAGCTTGCCATGATTAAATGCCTAGAAAGTGAGATAAATGGTCTTTCAGGAATGGAAGTAGGCCTGAAGGCTTACATTTTGTTCTCTAAATTTTACTTTCTGTTTGGAGTACAAACATATTCCCAATTAAAAAAAGTTTCCATTGACTCTACGGAGAAATAGGATTTGATGATTTAGTGCAGGGTCTGCTGATGAAAATGCTGATGTCATAAACCCGCTATAATCTGCTGCTTTTATAATTTTGTGGTTAGATTTAAAAATGAACATTTTCAAACAAATTTTTAAATCTAATTCTAGAACTTCACAGCTATGTAAAACATTTCATAATTGTGTCTGAATCTAGTATGTTACTATGGAATATGTAGAGCAAAAAGACTCGAAACATAGAAGATCTGACTTTTTTTCTCTCGTACAAGTAAATTTTTTAAATAACAAAAAATGTATGGTAAAGTTTAGCTGCATTGATGGACTAATATTTCTAACACACAATGCATAATAATAGCTATGACTTACAAATGTGATCCTCTTGGCATCAAATTTTAAAATGGGGTACAGCTGGATTTAGTAAGTTTGTATCAAAAACTTCAATTCACTAACAAAGTGGCTGATTTGAGCTACTTGTGCTACCTACATAACATTTCTCTCAGGTGTGACACTTCTCCAAACACAACTGCCTATTCAAATACCAATGAATAGCACTTGGCAGAAGATACAATTAAGTTTAAATTGAAGTCTTACCTATTGGTATGAACTTATTGAAACCAGAAAGAAAATAGCTTACAGACTACGCTTCGAGTGATGGCCAGAGAAACAATTTACTGCTCTGCTCACTACAATTTTTTTTAGAGACTCAGCTAAGGGAATTACTTGCTGACCTCCATCCCAAAAGAATAAACTTTGTAAAACATTTTGTTTCTGAGAAAGTGTCAGTATCTAAAACATGTCAGGTTTCTTTTGTCAAGTTATAGAAACTCCATCGGCCGGCAAATAGTCATGCATTTCAAAAGCACTATAAAAAGCCACAGGCAAAAAAACAAAGAACGTGTCAGGCTCACAACCACAGTAATTTATTTCCTACCTGCAGCAAACTGCTTGCTCTTGCGAGGTGAACGGGGTTGACGCTGGTATGGATCACTTGATCCATATAGGTCAAGTGTTCCCATGCTCAGCAGTACTGTCTTCTGCATAAAGTCCACAACAGCCAAACCATTGCAGTTTCCAAATGCCACTCTGAGGAAAGACATGTTCCTCAAAGGTATTAGTAATATGTAATCAAGTGGTGCAAACAATAATTATTAATTATTATTATGAATTCTCCATAAACATTTTCTTCAGAAACTACTCAAAGCTTACTTTTTATAATTCTTTCAGATTTGTAATCCTGAATTTATAAAATTGTGTCCTGAAACACAATAATTGGCATTCCAGAATTCCAGACTGCCCACTTTAATTAACTTTCTATGCCAAACGCATTGCAATAATGTCTAAATATAATTCTAGTAATACTGATGTAAATTAAGAGTACAAATCTGGACATAGACCTTAAAAAGTGGTTATACATATATGTAAACTACAAATATAAATTAAAATATAAATAAAAATAAATTTACAGTTGTTATTTAAAAATCTAAATATAAATGATAAATGAAATATATTAAGCTGTATTGTGGAGATAGCCAAATCTGAAAGATGTTTATAAAATTTCTTTCCAAGTCTGTCAGCTTGGCTACATTGTAGATTCCTGATAAATCAGCTTCTACCCCTCTGAAATGATTCCATAACTGACATTTTGATCGTGCTTTGAAACAAGATCTCTCAACTGGTATGAGATTGCCTAAGATCTGGACTACAGTCTTGTTATAAGGAGAAAGAGATGGAACAATTTATATCTTTTGCTGCCTAGAAACTCCCTTTAGAAGCATTCTGCCCTGATTGTGCTCTATTGTTACTACTGATTCCCTTCTGACACCAGTTTCAGAAAGAGGAAAGAAGTTGTATTGGACCAGCAGCACTTTCTCTTCTCCCATAAAAATGCTTTCTGTTTATGTTTTTTCTCCAACTTGCAAGGGGTGGAGGTTGAGGGGGGAATTAGACAATACGTCTATCTAAGAAAATTGAAGAAAACAAAACACACTAAACATGTCTATATGTAAGATCTGGGAGAAAGTCTTGAAGTTAACCATAGCATATGGAAACCCATATATCTCAGCAGATAAAATCTCACTAAAGCATTAAACCTATTTAAGATTTAATAGCAAAATAAATTCACAGAGCATATGCCTATCCACAGGATCCGTATGCCAAACTCTTGCACTGCATTGTTGGAGACTTCATTCAAGCAGAAATATTATATACTGACGGCTATTCTACAGAAGTGTCTCCTTTCCTATCAGACTGCAATTTTAGCTTCCAGATTGAAAGGATTACAGGTACAGCCACAAAGAAACTCAAAATCCCAAACCATGCTCAATCATATTAGGAATCATTTGTGATCAAGTTCCGTCATTTTATGTAAGAAGTGACTAAGGTGGTCAGTTCAATGCCCTGCAGGATATTTAAACACTCAGTTCACACTAAAAATGAGCCATGCACTCACCTCCACCTGACTCTTCTTAATATAGCTCCAAAATATCTTAAAGGAGATATATACATTTGTGTGTGGAAAAACAATAGGGAAAAAGAGAAGTAACAAGATGGAGGAAGGAGAAGCAGGGTAGACAGAACATTTTCCTCTGTTGTACCTTTTCTTTTGCTTCCATTATAAAAAAGAGGGTTCCATATAGCAAATAGAAAAGGTAAAGGGTGAAAATGAGGTGAGTTTTTCTTATTTGTCAAACTGGCAATTTAAGGCACCATCTACAACAGTGGCTCAAATTCTACTGGTTGTTACTACACCATGTTTTCTACCCTTGATGTAACACTGACTTTAGTACAGCATCTATGGAAATGCTATGAACATTTTTCCCCATTGACTATTCACTGATCTGTAGCTTAAGCAGCTACTAATATACACCAGCTTAAAGTGCGTACAAATACACTTTCATTTGGCAATATTTTGTGCTTATGTGGAAAGATCATAAGGTGCACTGAGGAATAAACTCCATGTTTTATGAACGTAGAGTAATATCTGCTTCAGAAATTACTATAGCCTGTTTTGCTTAGTAGAACAAAATAATTTTTAGAGAGTTTCCCTGGGACAAAAAGGAACGCTATCCGTCATATTTGCTAGAAGATCATTCTGTGCAAAGTTTTATATGTCTTCATGTTTCTTGACACAAATCGACTGATAAAGAACAGTAAAAAATTATTTTGCTATTTGTTTTTTTCATCCTTGTATTTTGCTTTAAAGCATATGTTAATAGGCATTGTCAGAGAAAGGATATTGAAGTAAAAAAGATTACTAGTGTAAAGTGTGACAGCAATTCCTGTGTTCGTAAGTCCCTGTGTTCTAAGTGGAGAAGAAAAATAAAGGAATAAAAATGATGAGTGTCAATCTCATCTGTTAATGCCTTAGGCCACAAAAATTATAGCCATCTACATTTTGAAAATGATTAACTTGAGATTTATTAATCTTGGAAAACATGAGTCACAAGAAGAGCTAGTGATCACACACTCTGTGGTCAGCAAATCCACAAAACGGATCATCACTTCCTGGTCTGTATTTTTCTAAACTTCCCTAAGTTCACACAGCATGGATATAATATTTCTTATACCTAGAAAAATTACTTTACCAAGAAAAATCAGAAATGGCTCATTAATATTATAACACTTCTGAGGAATAATAAGAAAATCTAGACAGACATTACTGTTAACAAGGCTTAAGATAAATTGCTAACATCCAAGTCTTTATAAAATCAAATACAAAATAAGCACAATGAATTTATCAATTTTGAGTGATGAACAGAATTAGTTGCTAGGAGATGTTCTATTCTGTGGGTATCTTTCATAGAAATGTCATAAAATCCTCATCAGACATTTCTTGACAATTAATATGTAGATTGGCTGAAAATTTTTATCACGAGCTGGTAATAAACTTTCAGAGACCGCTTTCAGTCCAACAGAACATACTTTAAAACAAATTTATTATTTGTATTTAACCTTGTAGATCTTCAGCTGTAATTGAAGCATTCTGTAAATTTTTCTTTTCTACTTTCATAACATAAAGAAGGTTTTTGATGATTCATTTCAACACAAATGAAACAGGTGTTAATACTTCTAATTTGTAGCTTGGTACTGTTAAAAGTAAACAAAATACATTAAAAAAAATTTCACAATGTCTGAAGCCTTTTATCTTTGCTGGGGATAAAGTTTTTTTTATATCTCGCTTTAGTCCTGTTTCATGGCTGCAGTAACATCAGGGACACTAAGTTCCTATTATTTGTAATATACAGTTACAGAAATCAAAGTAATTAAAAGAATGCTGGAAGTAGACACTCCAGAACACACTTACTATCCTATGCCTTCCTCCTCGTTAAACTGATTATTATAGGAAAAAAAAATTAGGCAAAAGATGACCCAAATAACCCTACAACTAGCATGGCAAAAATGAGATATCCTCAAGCTTTATGCTGAAGTGGCACAGTTTTTCCACAATGTGAGGCTAGATAAACAGGAGAAATCTAAAGTATTAAACAAAAATTCTGATGAAAGATAGGATTGTACCTTGTTACAGGCCCAAGGAAAAAGTTGAAAGAGGCAAGAGAGAGGGAGAGAGAAGAGACTCTGCAGAAGAAATTTAAAGAAATAGGCCTTTCTTGGGTAGCTTTTGAAGGAAATTTAAATTTAGATTATTGGGCTATTTCATGGATACATACATTTATTTCTGAAACACTCATGTACTTAGTATATGGTGTTTTAAAGGAGGCTGTCCTGTAAACTATTACTGCTCCTAGCGAAGGAAACAGTTTAAAGCATTTGATTGAATCAGGTGCATTTAGGAAACCACTGTGAGTACTAGGAGAACTGCAACCTGTCAGAGTAGTTTACAAGTGAGAGAATGGTGTGATTATTCCTGAAGTCAGACGCTGCCTTGAGGCCTGAGACATGAAAGGGAGCAAATTAGGCAAAACCCAACAGTTTGCATAAGTGACAAATGCATCTAGCTATGGTAAAACAAAAGAAACTTGTAGAGTTCATGAATAGGAAACTGTCTGGAAATTCAGGCCAAGGACTTGACAAAACAGCCCCCAAATGACAATATTTTTGCACAAATATAAAGTCTCTGCATAAAATTTCCAAAGTCTCTGAAGAGAGTCAAGTGACACTGAAAATCAGTAAGAGTCAGACACCTAACACCCATTACAGCCTATAGTTTTTATTGGAGTAACACCTCCTACAGGGAAAACCATTTTAATGTATCTGGGCGACTCTCAGTGAGAGAAACCATTAAAAATTAGCAAATAAATTGAACTTGAGGAAAAAAATATACACAGATACACTCACTTTCATTTCCATACAGAATTTAGCATTTGAATGTTCCTTATTCAATTTTCAATTTCAGGTCACTGGTTCTCTTGCAAACAGAAATTAGCACAGACATAAAAATGCTGTTCTCAGAACACAATTTCCAACAGTTAAGATACAATGTCACGATAAATGACATTTAACACTTAATCACATCACCATTGTCTGTGAAATGTATTTCACCTTGGTGATCCTTTCAAAATAACTTTAAAAATTACAGATTTGAAAGGTAGTTAGATTTTATTTGAAAGGATGAACAGAATAATATGAAAAGATTCAGTCTTTTAAATAGGAATAGTAAAAATACAGGCAAGAATGTCAGTTTAACATCTCATATTACAATTTTTATGTGAGTTCAAATAATTTTTCCCCAAGAATCTGGGTTATAGCACCTTTTGATTATTTTTACTCTGACTTTAATTGTCTGCAGGAAACTTCAAAGTATAATTGGAAAATACATGATTTAGTGCAATAAACAATAAATCAATGCAACCTGAATTTTGAGTTACTTACAGTCCATAAGCAGAGTTTACAGCAAGACTGGTAATCTGCTGTGGAGGCTCACCATCCACCCACACCAACTGAATAACAAGATCTGCTTGGTATCCAGGAGGCATTCGCACAGGTCGAGTCTTAACGCTAAGAAGAAGAGGTACAAAATAAGAACAAACAAACAAACAAACAAACAGACTGGGCCATGAATAACAACTGATTCTCTTGAGAAAATACTAGTGAAGCACAATCCCTTAATAAGTCCAGAGCAGTACCAGCACTTGCAGCATACTGTGCATATACCCATACATTGAGACCAGGCATTCCAATCAGAATAGGGATATTTTGGAGGAATTCCAGATTTTTACTTTCATTTCTGTTGTAGAAACAAATCTGAAAACTTCAACATTCCCTACAAGAGAAACTCTGGAGCAGATGTAGGTGGGGGTTAATAAAAATAATTTTTGCTTAATCATTTTGCTTTGATCTTCCTTTTTCAGAATATTTTCTTACGCTATATAATGCACACTTAAAAATCATCATGAATCAATTTGAATGGAAAACCTAAAATACTTTCTTCTGAAACTTTGAAACAGGACATTTCCGTATTTTTGGAACTTTCTTGCTCTGAAGTAAAGCACGACAGAAAAATGCAAAGAGGCAAGAGAAGATGAGAAGTTGTACCTTTCCGTAGTGGTCCTCACCATTGTATATTCAAAACTTACGGACTTGACAATTCTGTTTGTCCATCCAGTGCAAACAAGTCCTGTTTTCTTCTTAGGAGTATAATTACCTAATATGTGATCTGGTCTTAACGAATGAATGCTTCCTACATAATCTGATATGATTATTAACACCTTTTCATATTCTTTTATGGCAAGTTCAGTGACTTGCAAAGCAGGTAGTGAAGGTGTACATGTTAAGGGGAGTGTAATAACAGAACGCTTCCATATGACTTCTTTATTTGTGTTCTTTACTGGTAGAACTTAACTTGATGATACACTGAAAGAAGATATTATGCAATAACAGCAATTCTTTGAGGAATTCATGTTATTCATTAGTACATTCACACTGTAGGTAGCATTTTTACTGTAGCTGTAAATGGTGAGACTGCTTATATTGCAGCCCTCTGCACACAGTCATAATAGAGTGGTCTATCACATATAATCTTCTATCCCTGTGAAAAATAGTACCTGAAGAAAGACTAAGAATCAGGAGAGGAAGGAGAGCAGCTAGTTAATATAGACATGGACAACACATTCTGAAGAACTGCAATTTTGGGCACATAATATTTCTTTCTGCTGTAAGTGCTTCTCTATACGTATATCTCTACCATAAGTAACTTAGGCAATATTATCCTATGTACTGGATCTTACAGAAGAGATCTTTGATGACGCTGATGATGCAGACTATCTGCTGAACATGACTATGACGTGACTCAGCAAGCTTTCCAAGCAGCCCTGGCCCATACACCTGAAAAGATGATGGATCAGATTGGAAATAATCCAACTAATTTCTATTCAGAAGCAAGTAAATAAGCACTTCTTTCAAGAGGGGATATTCAAACTTATCATTCAATAACCAGGGCTATCATTTTTTTTGTAGCTACACTGGCTGCATCTGTTGGGATGGAGGCCTTGGCTGCAAATAGGGCTACTGGAAATCTTGGAAAATTGAAGATAGATGCAGAAAACTGAAGTAAAATGAAGTCAAACATAACCATTGAATGACAACACGGCAAAACTTCTGAATGAGATAACTCCAGTAGCACAACTGACAATGTACAAAGCAAATAGTGCTCTAATTCTGACAGAAGTTATGAAGAACAGAGGACTGCACAATACATCTCACATTTTTATGGTTTGACATAGAGCATGAGAAAAGACTGGACATGGATGTACCTTATGACCCAAAGAGATAAAATCTCCAGCTCGGTGTTAACAGTACAGGCACTTGAAGATAATTTTTGGAAAAGTTCTTAAAGCATAATGCCTATTTTGTTAATAAGACCTTAATATCTGTGGTGGGTTAACCTCGGCTGGCTGCCAGGTGCCCACCCAGCCGCTCTCTCACTCCCCCTCCTCAACAGGACAGGGGAAGAAAATAAAATGAAAAAGCTCGTGGGTTGAGATAGGACAGGGAGATCGCTTACCAATTACTGTCATAGGCAAAACAGACTCAATCTGGGGAAAATTAATTTAATTTATTGCCAATTAAAAATAGAGTAGGAGAGTGAGAAACTCTTTGAAAAGACAAAATGAAAAACACCCTCTCCCCACCCCTCCCTTCTTTCCAGGCTCAGTTTCACTCCTGACTCCTCTACCCCCTCCCTCACCCCAAGCAGCACAGTGGGGATGGGGAACAGTGGTTGCAGTCAGTTCATAACACTTCGTGTCTGCCACTCCTTCCTCATGATTTTCCCCTGCTCCAGTGTGGGGTCCCTCCCAAAGGCTACAGTCCTTCAGGAACAGACTGCTCCAGTGTGGGTCCCTCACGGGCCACAGTTCCTGCCAGAAAACCTGCTCCTAAGTGGGCTCCACTCCACGGGATGCAGCTCCTGCCAGGAGCCTGCTCTGATGTGGGCTCCCCATGGGCTGCAGGGGGACAACGTTAATCACCATGGTCCTCTCCACAGGCTGCAGGGGAATCTCTGCTCCGGTGCCTGGAGCACCTCCTCCCCTTCCTCCTTCTCTCATCTTGGTGTCTGCAGGGCTGTTTCTCACATTTTTTATCACCCTTCTCTCTCTCACAGCTGCTGTGCAGTGTTTTGCCCTTTCTTGCACATGCTTTCCCAGAGGCACCACCCTCTTGGCTGAGGGGCTCAGCCATGCCCGGTGGTGGGTCCGTTGGAGCTGGCTGGAACCAGCTGTGTCTGGCACAGGGCAGCCCTGACCTCTCCTCACAGGGGCTGCCCTACCGCCCCCCCAACACCTGGGCACCTGCACCTGATACAACATCTTTCATAACTGCCTTTTCAAAATACATTCACACCCTGCCTCGAACTGTTTAACCATTTCAGTAACACAGTTTATGCTGTACTGCTTATATTTTTATTGTAGAGAGTTCACTAACCTTGCCAAACCTTTCCCTTATTTACTATTTAATGAGAAAGGCATTCCTCATCTATCTTTCTAAATGCATTTCCTTAACAGTGGCTTGGCAAACTATTATATTTCTTCTGCCTGTCCTACTGTTCAGCCCTTACATATCCATTTATCTGGAGCAGTTATCAGCCACTCGGCTCAGATCTTGTCATAGGAAGCATGACAGCACACTTCAGCAAGCGGGATGCTTTTTGCCATCCTCCTCTTCCTCCCTCTTCATTGTCTAGGACCAGCTGTGAGAACAGACATCCATGCCAGGGGTCTGGACTACCACTCCTCTCTCACCTGCTCAGGGTTGCTGCAGTTGCAAGAGAAAAAGGACACAGACACAATCTTGACCCAAACTGGAAGGGAATCTCATTGTGACAACGTGTAAATAGTGGAGATGAACAGCACAACATATAAGTAGTGGAGATGAACAGCACTTTATCTGCTTGGTTAGAGACAAGAAAGTAACCATGTTTATTTTCTTGCATAAGGAGCCTTATTATCCATGATTGGTGACAGACTGCAGCAGATACAGCAACATATTACAACTCTAGCATGCCAAAAACTGATGGGTGCCAAAAGGTGGTGCTGGCAGTAGTGAGATAAGACTTTCCAAAGTGCAGGTTGACCAAACCAGAGTAAGCACATGGTGTAGCAGGGTTGCACAAGACACCTTGTTGGAACTAATACATGGTTGTGTCAAGCCTGAAGAGAGGAAGCAGCAGAAACAGGAGCTGGTACAGTGGCACCAGCTGGTGCAGCTGGTGAAAGAGCTAAACAGTTCATTGCTAGATGTGTGATGCCTTTCACAATCACCTGCAACTTTCTCAGGTCCTGCAGCCTCCTCAAACTCCATAGCCCTATCAGAGTATACCTATTATACCTAAGGATATGGGGTCACATATCTGGGTATCACATATCTGGATATCACAGCAGAATATATGCAGCATTTCAGGATAAGGAATGAGACCGTCACTTGGATCTTCAAGATATAACCATCTCCTCTCCCCTTCATGACCTTGACCTGCTCCTAGCTTTTCCCCTCTCTGACTGCAGAAGTACATAAGTTGTGTGGCAAGGTTTTGGTAGTGGGGAGCAGGGGGCTGCAGGGGTGGCCTCTGTGAGGAGAGGGCAGGGGCTGCCCTGTGCTGGACACAGCCCCATTCTAGCTGGTTCCAGCTGGCTCTGCCACAGACCCATGGCAGGACACAGCTGAGCCCCTCAGCCAAGCTGGTGGCACCTCTGGGAAAACATATTTAAGAAAGGGCAGAAAATGCTGCCTGGGAGTAAGGAGTGCGGAAAAAAAAGAAGTGAGAAACAGCCCCGCAAGCACCAAGGTGAGAGAAGAAGGAGGAGAGGAGGTGCTCCAGGTGCGGGAGCACAGATTTTTCTGCAGCCCATGGAGAGGACCATGGTGGCGCAGATATCCACACTGCAGTCCATGGAGGACCCTATGGCGGAGCAGGTGGATATTTCCTGAAGGAACTGCAACTTGTGGAGCAGCTTGTGGAGAGCCCACACTGGGCCAGGTTTATCCCGAAGGACTGTACCCCATGAGAGGTACCCCGCACCAGAACAGGGAAAAGTGTGAGGAGGAAGGAGCAGCAGAGAGGAGCTGTTATGGACTGACCACTACCACCATTCCCCATCCTCCCCTTCGCTGCTCAGGGTGGAGGAGTTGGTAATGAAGGAGTGAAGCTGGGAAGAAGGGTTGGTGGAAGACAGGTGTTTTAATTTTTTTGTTCCTCACCATCCAACTCTATTTTTACTGGCAATAAATTAAATTACTTTTCCCCAAGTTGAGTCTGTTTTGCCTGTGACAGTAATTGCTAAGTGATCTCCCTGTCTTCATCTCAACCCATGGCTTTTCCATCTTATTTTCTTCCCCTTGTCCTGTTGAGGAGGGCAAGTGACAGAGTGGCTGGGTGGGCACCTGGCAGCCAAGCAAGATCAACCACCACAGTTGGCAATAGCTTTGTACTGTTTTCTATTAACAGCAAACCTCTGCTCAAAGTTTTGCACTTTCTTACCTGTTCTGCTGGCACTAAAGCTTTGCCCTTTCCTTTGTTCATAAGGTACATATCCATGAGCATTTCTGAAGTGACACTATCCATAAGCTTAATGAAGCCCTGGATTACCCAGGAGTGTTTGTTGTGAGAACAAAGGGACGAACATCTGTGAACCCAAGCTGCTAAGGGAGAGGGGTCTTTTCAGACTGGGGAAAATTGAAACTACAAACAAGAGTTGTATACAATGAAGATGTATTTTTTTTCAAACAAACTTCACAGCAAGCAGAAGCTGAATATTTCATACAAATAGTCCTCCAGAGTATCTTTTGTGATGGGGCCCTTCTTATGTCTGTGGTTAAGCCTTTAAGAGGCATACTAGTGGCGGTGTTTCCATCTTGCACCCCATTTTCAGTTTTCAGCTCCTGCCCTTAAAAATGTTATAAAAAATATAAAACAGGTAAATGAAATCCAAGAAGTTAGACTTAAGTCTAATGCCCTTTCAGCTGAGCAGATATACTTTCCATCCGTATTTTCTAATGAATAACTGATGATGTGGAAGGACACAAGAGTCAAGCACACTGCTATGGTGAGTTCCAACAAATATCTATCGAGGCAATGCGTTTATCCTTTTCTTCTTCTAAACAAACTACCATCAGGCTGATAATGGCTGAAGAATTAATTCTGATCTTCTAATACACATTTTTATTAAGATATTACTTTTCCAATGTGTTTTTAACAACACACTGAAAAGATTAGAGAACTTGAAGTGCCTTCTAAGTTTTCTCTCAGATTGTTGTTACCTGAGCAAAAAAAGTAAACACCTTTCTCTCTCTATTTTTCACTGCAAATTTGAGGATCTTCTTTGCTAAGATGGATGTTATTTCACAGGGATTTTCCTAAGCGTAGAATAAGTTGTAGTTGGTGAAAGACCATAAAACTGGAGTAAAATAATTTCAGATTTCATGATTCAGTTTGTCATTCCCATGTTCCTGTAACACCTTCCTCTTTAAGGATGTTTGAGCCATTTCCCTGGTTTCACTAATCATCTTGCTTGAACAGTAATGTTGATACTTAGTTCTTCACCTTGTTTTGGATTGCTTTTTTTGAAGTGTTTATATTATAAGCCTAAACAGACTGCAGGCGTATGCACAGAAGGAATGTAGATATTTCAGTGATTTCCTTGACATGTTCTTGTTATGCTACACTGAATTTGGTTGTTGCCAAGTTTTGGTTTTTAGTTCTCTTAATGAGATAATCACAGACAGTTCTTTATCATTTTGGAGCTACCTGGAGCTACTGTCAAAACCCTTGATTGACCTAATTTTGGGATGATACTAAAAGTCTGGGAACAAAGACTTACATTCTGGGTACAGCTTTTTGATGACAGTATTTACATCAAAAATATTTATCTGGATAATCACAAATACATCAGTTTCTTATGTTATTATAGCTGCATATTTGATTATAAAATCTTCTGAAATAAGGAAGAACAATATTTATTCCACACTGCTGCTTGCCTCTCTTGGTAACATTTACTTCTGATTTCAGAAAAATGCCAAGTTTTCATTACTTCAGTCCCTTCAATCACTTGCTTTCTAGTACCTATTCCCAGACAGAAACACATTCGGTCATCCTGACTGCTGACCAGCAAAAATGATGTAGTGTGGACTGCCACCCATTTTCCATAACAAGGTTGAGAAGCAGATATGAAAGTAAACACAGTGAGGCCAAGATTAAAAGCTAGTCTGTATATAAAATTTTACATGGATTATCAGATTCAAGGCCAGGTTGGATGGGGCTTTGAGCAACCTGGTCTAGTGGAAGGTGCCTCTACTCATGGCAGGGGGGTTGGAACTAGATGATCTTTGGAGGTCCCTTCCAACCCAAACTATTCTATGATTCTATCAATATAGTTCAACCTGTGCACTGACCCTCCATGTGTAGGTGGCTGCAGCTTTACGTTATTATCACTGTATCTTAGATTCTGTACTGCTGCCCACCTGAATGACTTGCATATAAAATCAACAGCATCATCCAGGTCTCTGCTGGGTTTTCTGCACTTCCAGCAGTACTTTCACCTTATCACCGTAATTCTGCTTAGAACAGAAGTTTTTTGACAGAAAAGGAATGTGGACCTGGTTAGGGTTTGGGGGAAAAGTGTGGATATTTATATGCTTTTCCCTATTAAAAAGGATGAGAGTGTACACAGTATGCTTTTATATAAATGTAAGAGGGAGTATGCCAGCAGTTCTAGTAGAATAATTACTTTGACTTTGAAAAATCACTTCTCTGTCAAAATAAGTTTACATTTACTTTGTGTAGAATGGGACAAAAATCAGTTGGCCAGCTTAATGTGAGATTATATGGAATTAAGCAAACTCCTAAAAACTAACCAGCAGAACCTCTACTGGTTCATTACAGCTTTTCTGCCTCCAAGATCAACAATTCCTCTCCTCCCCAGACCGAATCAAATAAGAATCCCTTAAGGGAAAATCTTAGCCACTGAAATAATCGATTGCATTCTTGCTGATTTCAATGGCATAAATAGATTTCACATTGGGATATTTTTAATAACTTCTCTCTGCCTCTGCTATTGATTTTCATGGTTTATATTAATGACTAACTGAGGTCTGAGGTTCAACTGCCTGACTGAATGAGGTGGACAAATTAACAGGATGCCAAAAAATACTGTTAATTTTGCAAGTACAATGTAATGATATTGCTTTTAAATGCTAATGTTATTTTCAGGAGCTCAACAGCCCAAAGTATCTGCAAAGTCAGGCAATGTTAATTTAAACTGCTTTTGGAATAATTGAGACGTTTAAAATATTTAATAATAATTAGACTGAAATAATAATGAGTTCACTAAAATGAGAGCAATTGTTATCAGCAGCGCACTATCATTGCTGGGAAATTACAGTTTATGGAGTTTTGTACAGAATTCTGTTTTGAAACTATTCAAACCCATAATTTATCTGCCTTATTAGTAAGAACATATTAATCTACTCCAAGCAGTGGCAATGTGTACTCTAGCAGACAACAATTTGCTTCTTTCTAAAGATTAAACATATATACACTTCCACACAGTGCAACTGTTTCATAATTGTATATTTTAAAGGTTGTTTCATGAGTATGAACACAGTTTCCATCCCTTACACACCACAGAACGCATATACTTCTTTCACAAAGAAAGATTTTAGTGTTATACTAATTAATCAAGGAGGGAAAGCTTTGTACATGTCTGCTTTATGGAAGTCTCTGTGAACTCAAAAAAAAAAGTTCCTCAGAAATTCCTTAATTTATTCTGTGGTGCTCATATTCCACTCAAAACTGTGGGTATGAGATGAAGATTTACTCCTAGATCATACTGGAAAATTACAGTCAAACCTTTACTGTAACAGTTTATCTTCTCCATACTTACTTGTATCCTTTTAAAATCCCTTGTTAATTATTTTGCCTTAATTCTTTTGTTTGTTCCATATTCTGGTTTCTTCTCATTTTGTGTTGTGTACATTGAGATTAAAAAGATTAACCTCTTTTTCTTGATAGTTAACCGATTGTTAATACAATAGATAGGAATGCCTTTTAGAAAGATAAATCTTTGAACAATGGCGTAGACTTACCTAAGACATGGGATACTATCCTTCATCGTTCCTTCACATGCTACAGTGTTGGTACTGCCTGAAAGGCTCTTTAAAGAAGGAAGCTGGGAGGAGGCATCTGGAAATGGAGGAATTATTTCCGGTTCAGGAGTAATGATATCTTCTACTTCATACTGAAGTCGTACTTCTAATGACTTAAATAAATAAAAAGCTAAGTTATAATTTAATAAAGAAAGCTGCTCAAAGTTCTGTTACTTTCAAATAAATATCAGTAAGCCTTTTTTTTTAAATAAACCCCCACATTTATCATTATCATTTGCAGGCAAAGAATACTGTCATTTGTTATTTATACAGCCTAACAGCAACATCAGATAGGAACTAGTCGTCTACCCTATGCTGATGGAGAAATACATAGGTATATTCTTCCAGTGCTGACTTTGATTCAAGCCTTTTATTGTAAGTGAAAGGCAAAAATAGAACTTTCCAGCATTTATTATGAAAAGAGAAGTCAATCACCCCCAAACAAATAATATTTCAGCATAAGAAGGCATCATTCAGGATAAATATCATGAAAATTTTCTGCCTGTTGTCTGTTATCTTTTTCCTAAGCAAATTCATTAAAAGAATGATCATCAACTCTGCCTCCTTATTGCTAGTACAACAGAATCTCTACAAGACAGGTTTTAGCCAGTATGCAGAAGCCTGACAGTGCGGGTAGTACTGATGAACGAACTTCATTTGGCCATAGGTGGGGGTCAGGAAATCAGAGATAACAGCACAAAGAGTTCCGTATTCCTTAGACTGAGCATGAGTTTGGCAGATTCTAGAAAGCAAAGTTAAAACCAGTTACCTTTTGCTTTCCTTCAGGGCTCTCTAAATAGGGAAAAGGAGACCAAACAGGACCAACCACCATTCAATTCTTTCCACTAATTCAGGAAATCTTAACTGAAGGACTCCAAAACACAGGGGAAACTGGACAGAGAGCTCAAATCTATGCAAGTAATCATCTCAAAGAATCACCATAGATATTGGGCAATTCTTTCTGCCTCATGAATTGTCCAAGGAGATCCCTATTTTGAAAAGAATAAAAACCAAGGTACAGCCCTCAAAGAGATAAGGTCTTGGGATTACTAGCTGAATAGTAATTTCAGCACTGGTATCTTGAAGTGATCAGAAGCAATTGCAGATTTAGACACTGCAAACTCTGCCTTAGTCAGTGATCTCTCACTGAGACATCATCTGTACCAGAATGGAGATGACAGTATTAAGAAAACACCTAAGTTTTATGAGAATTGGGAGATAAAGATCAGTACTGAAGACTCTCCTGTTTCTCAACCATTGTGTTAAAACATAAGATTTCAGAACAAAGTGATTCTGCTCAATCAGAAGAGAAAGGGTCTTTTCTCAAAATTTCACTTTTGTTTTCTCCTTGCAAAATCCATGGATATTTTTTGCCTGAATCAGCTAAGAAACCTACGGACAACATTTGCCTTCAAAGACCAGTGAGTGAAATACTGAGTTCAGGAAAACCTAATCTTCTGGAAGTAATTGCTGCTGACCGAAACAATTTATAATGCTGTTTAATCTTCACGCAGGACTGGAGTAACTGTTGAAGTGTATGTTCTTCTGCTTGCCATGTTAGAAGTGCATAATTCTTCTTTGGATGTTTTTCTTTGTGTCTTCCTTTTTCTACAAAAATTAGTTTTGTTAAGTTCTCGCTACCGTCCATTTGCAGAGAGAAGGAAAAATTTAGGCTAATAACATGACTGTGAATTTTTTTTACGTTTTGGTCCCTGCTTTGACTGGACCTTGGAAGGGGTACAGACCTGTTGTACCAATTTATTTTGACACACGGTAAAGATCTTTTTGGAGGATCCCATCACGAGGTTCATTGATTCTCCTTTCTACATTCAAACTAGCGTAAACTTTTTTTCTGTGGTTCTTCTCAAAAGCTTCAAAGAGGAGCTTCACTGAGGAAAGACTGATCACTGAGAAATTGATCATATTTAATAGATACCTAGATATCCTTTTGTGACAGGATGGAGAAAGCAACAACAACAATAGCAAATGCTTTTTACATAACTGCACGGCAATGACTCCAAGGTTGGATATGAAGCAGAATTTGTCTCATGCATACTACTTGCCTCCAGAATCTGATATGGAATTATGCAAATACTACTTCTATTGAGGAAATCCCAGGCACAGTCTATGCCTGTAAAGCATATTCAGCAGCGGACTTCCCTGCTACATGGAGAAACCTTTGAGTAGCCCCCATGCTTCCCATTTACCACAGCAATAACATTACAAGACTGACATCAGACAGTCAAACCAACATGGGGTCCTTGAAATGCTGGGATTTATAGATTGAACTCAAGGTGAGTTCAGGCTGGCTGCTAGAGAAGGGAGGACACTAAGTGCTAGAACGTGGGCTCGCCTCAGGCAGAAAAGAAATCCTGAGACTGACCAGCTCAGTCTCAGTATAAACAAAGCCAGACAGCCTAAAGTCAGGTACATATTCCAACAAAGACTCCCATACTTTTTATTAAAAAAAACCCCGCCATTTAAGAGTGAAGACGTGAATGCTTGCAGCAAAAATGTGAAAACCAAGAGATGAGGCCCATCTCACGGATGCACAAAACCCAGGAGAACTCAGTGACTATGCCACCAAGATTAGATAATATTAAAGCAACTCCTCAGAGAACAATTCCTCATATAAATGCTTCTTAATTACAGATGAAATCTGAGAAACTGTTAAATTGCACATATTATAACACTTCAGAAAACTACCAGTTCTGATGCAATTCAGCCATAGAAGTAAAAGACATGAAAATAAAGAAATTAAATGGTAGGTAATAAAAGATAAGGTGCATTTGCTATGGAACAATGTAAGAATACTGAAATGTAGTAATTTTAGCAGCATTATACATGAGCTGGTCAGTAATGTGAAATTACTGTTCATTAGTTTTAAAACTTTCCTGAAAGGACACATTCAGCTAGCTTAATAATTGCCTCTGGGGGAAAAAAATGAGAGGAAAACAACAGAACAGCTATAGGTAATGAATTTCCTTACCAGATGGCACATGGCTACAGGCCAAAAATGACACATTTTTGCCAGGCTAGAACTATAGACTTTCTAAAGTACATTAAAATAGCATGAAAACGAAAAGAACTGTGATCGGGGAAGGTGGAAAATGAAAGGGAAATTTTGGGTCAGCCCCTGGGGTTTGTTGAGAGCTGGCAGACACAAAGAAATACTTTTTCTGGCAAGAGAGTGTCTGGAGTTGCAAACTGTTCTCCAGCACCAGAGAATGGCAAGCCTGAAGGAGAGGCAGTCATGTTTAGTTTGGCTTTGCCTGAAGAGTAGTCTGCTGTTAAACTTTAGAATATTTTACATTATAAATGCTGTTCAGCCACACTGTTAGCAGTGGTTGTGGCTCCTGTGCAAAAATGCAAGGTTTAAACCAAAGTCAGACTTGCTGTACAGCAATGATAAGTACAAGGTGATAGCAGTGCAGTTAAAAGAACATGAACTGTATGATTCTACCTGAAATAAGGTGATTGCTTAAGACATGAAGACAGAAAAAGGAGTATTTGAACAGGACAGAGCAACAGAAAGCTTAGGAAAATATCAAGTGCTTAGCCGTAAATAGTTTGGCATTTCATAGAGTGTCCATTTTTAGGGAAACAAAGTCGGCATAAGCCAGAAAAAAAATCAACTCTTTATTTTGTTAAAGCCAGTGATAATTTTCAGTCCCCTTGTGGTACACAAACTATAAACATAAATTAAAGAGATAAAATACTTGAGTTAAAAAGAGCATTATTATGTACGTACACAATGTACATTATCTGATAAAAACATACAGCAGCCATTATTTTTAGAGCAGGTAAGTACAACAGAGATTTACTGTATCTTAAAGTCTTAAAAGCAAACTATGTCTAATAGTAACATACAGCACAGATTTCAAAGGAAAAAAACGGAGAGTTGGCTCCCAAAACCTCAGATTTTTGTCACTAACTTAAGTAGGATCAAGATTTCACTCAAAAGGTTTAAACTGGAATGTCCCTAAACCTATACTTATACAGCTTGATATTAATTTTATTCAAGTATGTGAGCACAGATACAGCAAGGCAATGTGCTTTAAAAACTATTTTCTTTTATAAGAGAGTAAAATTCTGAAGGACTTACTGCAATTTCAGTATTTACTTCATGTTTGCTGAACCTGTAAACAACCACATATGCAGAAACTCCTGCCACACAGAAAATTCGGCTTTCAGGACACCAGTACATCATCTGAACAGCAAAAGGATCTTCTTCCACAATCTCAGCTGTTGCTTTTCCTTCTCCCAGTTTCTGTTTTTCAAAGACCTTTGATGTTTTTAATTTGTACAACATCTGTAGAGTAACTGGAATATATTGAAACATATAAAAAATACTGACTAACATGAAGCAAATCAGTTATAAAATGCTTCGGTTCCCATTTTCTTTTCAGTGGTGGCATAACAAAGAATCTTACGAAAGCCTAAGAGGAGAAGAAGATGGGTATTATACAACACAGATAATATTCTGGTACATAGTACTGGTAGGATACATATTTAATATTTCCAAAATGGATATTTGTCTGTGAAATACTTCTTAGTACTTTTTGGGACAGGATGTCAAAGGTGTATGTTAACCATTATGTCCATAATTAGGCTTATACTCAATGTTATATAGAGACTCTGATAATGCTGCTATTTTCCAAATGAGATGTGAAACTAAGGTTTCATTTGTCTGAGGTTATTGTCTTGCTAGAATGTAAAGACTGTATGGCACTTCAAGAGAAAACATTAGGAAAGTATTCTGGTGGCCTGGGCAACAAAGACTTTGTGAACGAACAGGAGGTCTAAAATGGTTTTAATTTCTTGACTAACAACAAATCTGTATTTATACCTGTATATAAAACCTTAATATCCAGAAGACTTTGTCAAGACTAGAACTCCACTGCAGTGAATTCTGGAGGTAAAGGAGGGATTATAATTAACCCCATTTTGTTTTATTGACATCCCTCCCTGTTTTTTACTACTTTTACATTAATTTATCAGTGGCATTAATTAATAACTGCATAAGGTCAGAAAAAGTCAGTCAGGCACAGCACCTATAAAGGTGTGTGTTGTCAAGACTAGAACTCCACTGCAGTGAATTCTGGAGGTAAAGGAGGGATTATAATTAACCCCATTTTGTTTTATTGACATCCCTCCCTGTTTTTTACTACTTTTACATTAATTTATCAGTGGCATTAATTAATAACTGCATAAGGTCAGAAAAAGTCAGTCAGGCACAGCACCTATAAAGGTGTGTGTATATACATAAAGGCAAAGCTGTTACATAGAATCTCGAGTTGGAAGGGACCCATAAGGATCACATATGTTAGTGTAATTGTGGTAGATCAGTCTAGCTAGCTAGTGTAACAAGAGCAACAAAAAGGTGGAAGAACAGTGTTTTAGTTATGTAACTGGATGACGAACACAGCAAAATTACATTTTCATTTTGCAGTGCAGATATATTGCAGGAGTTTTAGCATATAACATTTTTTATATTTTAAAAAGTTTTAGCATATAAAATGCTACAAAATCTTCACAAATTACAGCAAGTGCTTCTGTAATGAATATATAATTCTTCCTGCCTTCTGCAGCAGTGGAAGAGGCCTCAGGATGCCCTTAGTCCCAGTGGCAAATCTAGAGTGGCACTTCAAATCAGACATCATGGGTCCGTGCATACTAGGATTGGAAGAATTACAGAATCATAGGGCACAAGTACAAGGCCAGACTCTCTATGCTTCTGTGAATTACTAGGTACCATCTGCACAAGGGCAAATAAGAAACAGCAATGGCTTCTGAGCAAAGATACCTTTGGAAAACTGTTTCAGTGGCTTAGCAATTCCCTGTCTCCCACAAATCTGTGCCTTCAGATACAAAATTACACAATTAAAATATGTCTCAAAGCAAAGTATTTTGTGCCTTCAAATACCAGTAAGATATTATGTTTGCTATGAAATCTCAAAAGAAATTTGAACTCCATTAAAAAAAGTTAAGACCTTGTAAATAATAAAGCTTTGTAATAATTAAAACCTTGTAAAGAAGTACCACCAAGTACAGTACCAGTAACACAGTACATGCCCTGAAAAGCAGGACTAAGACCAGGACATCAGAGATGCACTGAAAGTACCATTACTGTTGAAAGGATTGTGAATATTCATGATCATCTAAGCTTTTACCTCTAAGAAAAATTCCTATTGCAGCATGTACGTACTGATTAGTGGGTTATGTTTATATTCCCTGTGAGAAGTTTTTTCCTTTCCCCATTCCTGCCAGAACCATAGAAGAAATGACTAGCACACTGATTCCTGTGCAGTGTATACACTAAATGCTTTGGGGTCTTGCAACAGTCTGTATTGTTTCACCCTAATTTTAATGCCTGCGTTAGAACATTCTTTGTCAAGAGCCTAAGTATGTAATGAAGTATGCACAAGACAAAGTCTAATGCCTCACACTGCTTCTCTAAATAAAAGTCATTATCCTATTTTTATTCAAATTAAAGCACTCTCAAACTTCTGTCTTTGCAGATAAACTGTTGACCTCATCAGAATTTTTTTCTTTTTGGTGTTCACCGTAACTTGAAAATGATGTAAGATGTAAACTCCAAGCAGCATGTATCTGTTTTTCCTCCATTTCCAAATAGACAAATCATATAATAGAAAAACAACTCCTAGTCGTGTTCAGCTGACGTGTTCATCAATGATGATGATATCAATGAAAAATGTATTTTATTGCTTTTATTTATTTATTTATTATTAATATTTTATTTATTTATTTATATCTATTTTATTTATTAGGTTAATAAAATACTTTTTCATATTCAATAACAATGATGTAAGATGTAAACTCCAAGCAGCATGTATCTGTTTTTCCTCCATTTCCAAATAGACAAATCATATAATAGAAAAACAACTCCTAGTCGTGTTCAGCCTATGTAAAATTCCTTTGTGAAACGAGGCTTTGGAAATCCTAATTTTCTCTGTCCATCCTGATGAGTGAAAATATTTGGTATTAGGCAAAAAGAGAACTACCTGACAAAGTCATCAGGTTTAGCTGACAAAAAATCTTGCAAACATTCCCCATACTTTGCTGGAAATGGTAGCAGTTTTAATCATTACAATTCTGTGGCACAATGTGGAAGTAGCAGGTAGTTTAAGTATCTCATACTCCGTGCTCTTGGCGACCATTACAGACTGGTTATTAGGGTCAAATTAAATCTCTCTATGCCTAACATTTCATACAGAAGTTTCTATCACACTCTCTTTTCTTTAAGAGATTGATACTTCAATAAAAGAGAGATTCTACCCAGGCATCCCTGTACCACAGAAGAGACAGAATAGAAGGCAACTCTGATGCAACTTTTGTTAAGCACAGTCACATTATTTGAACCAGAATATTTTAGCTTTCAACAAAATGTATGTATATTTTTAATAAATATATTTTACTAATAAGTACCATATGTATTTTCTGTAAGGGAAAATGCTGGGTTTTTATATGTGTAGTTATAGCTAGAATGTATGGAACAAGTATTTTCTGAAGCTTTTTCCTGCTAGGATGAATGGAAATGCTTCCCAATTATTTCCTGGAACTTGAGACTGGACAAGAAAAGATTTAGGTCTTCTCCACCCTCACCAGATTAGACATGTATTGAGAAGTATTATTGTATTTTAGTATTTTATTTTTGCTTAGCTGTAAAAAAGACTATATTGTACTCAGAATAGAAGAGACATGACAACTAGAACTGAATATTAGATCTAATTGACCCCACTTTTTTATACATACAACAAGATTATGCCCTAGGGATTTTTTTACCAACACTTCGTCCTTCACAGGTTTTGGTATGCTGGATCTGGAGTTTTTGTTCCTCTTACAGACTTTCACTCTTTTCTCTCTAATATATCTCATTAGCAGTGTTTTTTTTCCTAATTTAATAAAAATTTGCTTAATTTAACCTCATTATTCCTAATTATATCATCCCAGGTATTACTACTCATACTGTTAAATATCATGTTATATATATGTGTGTGTGTGTGTGTGTGTGATTTGTCAGCATTATATAAAAGTGAACTTTAGAAACTTACTGGCAGAAGCATCCCAAAACTTTACTGATCCATCTGCATGGCTTAAAAAAAATATAAAAATTAAACGTGTTAAAACAAGATGCAATTCTAAAAACACCTTCTACTTTCAGTGAGCGATAAACATAAGCAAAAAACCCATATCTTGCTCATATGGTAACTCTCCATACCTTACCGACAATATATAATGATATATGTACTAACTATAAGAAAATATTTTGTTATTAGTTTGATTAGGTTAATAAAATACTTTTTCATGCATTTCCTGCAGAAAACTAAGCTCCCAATGAATTTTAAGATCGCAACAGCAAGAAATTAATTCCCATACTAATGACAAGTTTAAGTTACAGCACTTCTGGCTTTGCAGTGGGCCAGCATCAAGGCTACCCACTCTAAAAATGCCATATATAACAAATTTTGAAAAGACAGAGGGTAACTTCATTTTGCTTACTACCTTACAGCTGTGTTCTCTTTATTAACATAAAATCATCCCTGAAGTAAAGCTGGAGAAAGGAGACATTTCTGTTTAAAATGAGAATAATCCCTTCATCACCTTATTGGTACTATTGCACACATCATAATCTTACTTTTTAAAAACAGGTGTTAAGTATCATTGATATTATAGCAATATATTGCTATGATCAGCATGGCTGAGACCAGAAGGAAACACAGAGTGCATCATAGCTGAATAGCTTCTGTTTTACAGCATGGCCCCTTGAAAATCCATCAGGCACTGCTCATGGGGCTTCTACTGCAATCTGAGCCTTTCTATGCCTTTTTGCTATGGGGCTGTCTCTCCACTCACAAGGTAAAATTCAACCCAGTGCACCACACCCTCACTAATGCTGGGGTATCAAAATGAATTCCCAAACTGTCCCAGACACAAAGTCCCCAGAAGGCCAAAGGACAACAGCTATACAAGAACAGCTGCTCCCCTTTTTAAACCTATTCTCTATGCCCTTCAAGGCCAAAATATTTTCTTGTAATGGATTCTGCTTTCCAAAGACCCCATCATCACAAGTATATAGACTTGCTGTCTAACACTGGGGCCTCAAATGGACATTCTTAATGATAGTTCATCCCCGAGTACAAAGTTCTATTTTCTACAGCAAATGGGAATTTCTGTGGTGACTCTGCACAAGGGAGAAAAACTACATACCTCAAATGAAGAGGCCAGGATATGCATACTCTGTGAAGGGTCAACTCTTATCTATAGCTAACCCACAATCAAAAGCTGTAGACATTAACATTTTAAAAGTACCAGTCCTCAGTTTCATTCTCACCCTGTAATAATGATTTCGGGATATGTCTGAGCTCCAAGGTTCCATGCTCCGCCACTGATAGGCCACTCCTAAACAAACAACAAGAGTACAGAGATCACAGCTAATTCTGATGAATCCTGCTTCGTTAATTTTTAAACTCAGGAGTAGGCAACATCTTCCTCCAAAAGGCAATTCAACTCATAAAAGGAACACAAATATGTAGCATTCAAGGCTTTTAAAGCTTACTAACATTTTTACATTATCAATTAAGGCTTTTGAAACTTAATAACATTTTTATGTTATCAATTAAAGTTCTATGTTTTTAAAATATTTCTGCACAGCTGACACTCAACAATCCAAAATAGGAACTAGATGAAAGAGTAACAAACAGTTCTGCTACTCTTTTCAGATTGCTTGACTCTTGGAGTTTCTATAGGACATTGAATAGACCGAGACTCCATTTTGAGGATGAAGACTACTGAAGAAGCTGGCCCAGGAACAAATACCTGAGCATGATGCCACGAGATATGAGATAAGGGAATGCAACTTTTACAGAACATAGGAAATCATCACCTCTTCTCTGCTTTTTGTTTACTAATGGCAAGACTCCCATTTTCTTCCTTGGTCTAGGCTGGCAGAGCGAAATGCTGGTCTGTGCCTAAAGCTTGATATGTATGGATACAGGACACAGGATGTGGAGGATGACATATGTGCAGAGTGGATGAGGATGTGTGCAGACTATAAGTGGGTGGAAAAAAACTGCGAGCACAAACTGGTTATGTGGATACATGGAGTGGATGCTTGTGGGTACAGAAATGGGTGGGTGGCAAAGAGTGGCTACCTACATTCAGACTGTATATTTGCATGTGCACAAATAAAGCAAGGAGACAAGAGAGTGTGCAATGAATACAGGTAGGTGGTGAAAAGTTTGAGAAACTATGTATATGAGGTAAGGATAGATAAGCAGACAAATTCAAATAAGAGAAAAAAAATAGTTTCTGAAGCACATTGCTGAATCAAGATCTATAAGAAGTAGATAGGGCCCGGTTTCTCAGTTCATAGAAAACAAGGCAGCTCCAAGGAGAATACTTTTGTTTATATGAATAGAAAACTGATGATGTCTGATTTTTTTACCCAATATTTTTTCTAATTTATTTATTATGATGGATTAGTTCTAGTCAAAACATAACCAGATTAATGCTTGAAATCTATAAAATAATTGCATTTCCTCTTTTTATTTCTGCAGCTTGTCCTACTTCTAAAAGCATTAAGACTTTGGTAGCTCAGTAAAATAATTATTAAAATCCCTACTTAATAAAAATCTCACAGACATGCTGTCAACCCTCAACTTTCACTGAAACTCTTCTGCTAGGTTCTTTCAGTTATAATGTTTTCACTTTTTTCTTTGATAGAGATAACTTATCCATACAAATTTGAATTGGACACTGATGGATTTTCTTTAACTCAGTCTGATCTGGCATAACTTCAGCAGCCTAATGATTAAGTCCTATATAATGGTCATTAATGGTTGTGCTTAAGCAATGGTGTTTCTGAGGGACAAATACCAGGCTGTAAGCATGCTGCTAAACTGCTGGTTGGACCAACTTGAAAGTGATTATTAAAGAAGTAAAATGAAAATTGGTAAGATGTTACAAAAACATAGGTTGTACATCTGTTTTCTTTGTTTAAAAAAAATATTGGGTTTGTTTACCTTATTGCTGTATCCTTGCTTTTTATGTTTTGCTCCTACAGAATAGAGTACAGGAATCAAATCTGGAGGACAGTCCGCAAAATATTCTGTGCAGGTAACAGGTGACTCATGAATGTCAATAGGATACGGATTTTCAAAGATTGGAAAACTAGTTAAGGAAGACAATTTATTAGAAGCACTGTGACAAACTGAGCCATAGAAGAAAACATATTCTTATATTAAAGTGTATAAAAGAATCTAAGTAAAAAAATTACTAATAAAGTACATTCTCCCTTATTTATTCAAACATATGTATTGTTTTTAATGTCAATAATAATGTGCAGTTACTCAAATAAAGATAAAAAAAATCCACTGCTGTGACAAGAATCCTCTTGTAACATAAATACCCCTTCGTGTGTATAGTTCCCAAGGCTAATAGAACTACTTATGTGAATGAGGATTAGGAACTAATTTTTCCCAACGTCTCAAAATCTTATTTATACAGAGGTGACACATTTTCTAGAAGCTTCAGGTTCATGGATATGATATATACTATGACCTAAAAACTACTTATACAACTGTGGATTTTATATTGAGCAGCTTAGCTTATTGGGTTGGTAGACTACCGATTCTTCAATGAACAATTGCAATAACAGATGAAGTAGATCTCAGTTTATTTCTCACTTCCATCAGTTTGGATGGTCTGATAAGAAGGAAGGCCTCACTTCTGGTATATTACACAATGTTATTCACAATTCAAAAATGTAGGAAATCTGGTTCCGATTTCAGTTACATCCATTTATATTGCTGAGATGATTTAAATTATTCTTGAAAGTAAGTGAGATCAGAATATGATTCACTTAAAATGTTTCAAGACATTAAGGGCAAAATCTGTTCCTAGTTATACCAGTGTGAATGTGGATCTACACTACTGGTAGTGTTGGAGACAGAACAAAATAAATGGAATTGGATTCTGCATTACATGATGTATAGTTCCTCTTTGATATGAAGATTGATTCTGATGTGAAAGAACTATTTGTCATTTAAACCAGCAACTGGATCATGAAATAATCCTGTAGATCCACTACAAATCAATGCCATTATTTATTAAGATACTTAAATAAACACTTAAGTGGTAGTCCCTGTGGAGTCTAGTGAAGTTAGGCATGCATATAAGTAGTAGTTGAATCTGGTTTCCAAAACACACATTCAGGTCATAATTCAGCATGTGACCAAGTATTACTTAACTTCGATGTTGAGTGAATGTTTGAGGGCTATGCTGAAGGGACCACAGATTTAGATTTATTCCCAAACTTAAGAACAAATATTATCATAAGTTCCTGTTGATTAGCTGATCTTAGCTCTTAAGGTGGAGGCAAACATATAGAGTGAATTATTACCAAGAGTAAATGATTTTGGACAGTAAAATGACATTGCATGATAACATTTGGATTTTTATTATCATTTGCTGGAGTTAAGATATACAAATAACTTCATATAAGACTTCATACTTACTTGCTTTGTGTCAGGTCAACAACAATGAGATCTTTTTCCAAAAGCACAACTACAGCATAGGGTTCTTGAAATTCTGTAGGAATCAAGTATAAAAAACATGGAGTTCTCCTATTAGTCATTTTAAACAAGCAAGTCATATTTATGTTCTCTAAACATTCACAGTATATTAAACAAAAGTTTTGAGGTACAAATCCTAGACATATCCACAAACTAGACGTATCTGCAAACCAGGGCCAGACAGGAACAGAGAAATGACTTTTGGGCACTATTGCTGATCAACACGTGCAAACTAGGGCCAGATTAGGGCCAGGCAGGAACTGAGAAATTACTTTTGGGCAGTATGGCTGATCAATATACATAGCAGAAATAGAATTGGCATATTATAGCATGCCAGCATGATGGTATACTGAAAGTAAAGAAATAGAATATGACTGAGTTGTGTGTATCACTGCATTGCTGAATCCAATTATTATTCAGAAAATGAATTTTGCTGTCCAGTAGTAATACTTCTACTGTGTACAACTGTTCTTCACAAACAGATTGTGAACAGCTGGTCCAGCCCACTTGACGATACACAATACCCTCATTTCCAAAGCAATTCCAAAGGAATATTCCAAAGGAATCCTGTAAGTCTGCTGTGTTCAATTCAGATACTGACACGCTCCTTCTTCCCGTACACTCTTTAGGAGATCATATTGTTTGGTTTTTTATTTAATGCTTTTTTTGTTCATCAAAAATAAACAGTTAAAATGACAAATAAGTGCTTCCCTTGATGCATAGGGTGCATTAGTTTACATAGGATAAAAATTATTTAAAAAAATATAAATGTGAAATTACGACTCTCTTTTCAACAACAGCAAACCATTCCAGCATGTGCAAGCTCAGAGTACGCTCTTCTGATGGCTGATACCAAAAGGCTGAGTAAATTGACAGCAACTGATTTACCTTCCTTTCAGGCCAGCTATGACTGCACATTATTTCTGGCCTGTTTTTATACAAGGCTATGAATAACACAGGTTAAACCGAAATTTTTAAATATTAGTGTGTGAGCAGGGGAAAGGGCTACAAAATCTTAGTACTGGGAAGTGTCACTGTATTTGACACAGTTAAATGAAGGCCCAAACTAACTTTGATTACTGCAAATTAAATTTTTATATGACATTGAAACAAATATACACTTTATTTTTGCTAAGTGTTTTTAATATGTATTTGATTTAGCTACATATATAAGATTTATTTTACTTTTCTGCTTGATGGCTTAAAATGCTAAACTTAGTTTCTGTTTGACTTACAGCTTTTCTTAATTTACTTTCTGGAGTTTTCTGTGAATGTACTTCAGAATATGGCAGCCCCACAATATACAGCAAAACACTTTTAACAGTTCAATTCAGGCTGAAGTGTAAGAACTTTTTTGCAGGTAAGTGATAGTTTAATCTTCAATAATTTAGCAATCTGTAGATTTTCAGCCTCATCAAAAATGTCAGAAATCTAAGCACACGTTTGATTAATAGCAATATTTCCTCAGACTAGCCCATGTGTTTCAAGCTTATATCTGGAGATTTACGCATGCTTTATTGTCCTTTCATTACTTGCTTCCTATACTGAGAACGCAAACAAGTTCCAGTTACTTTCAGTGATGTGGTTTTCTTGAGATGGAGACAACTGTGAGAATGGAAGTCCCTGGAATGGAATTAAGGTATGAGAGAAGATAACTTCATTTATATTTTCCATAAGTGTGTTTTGCTTAATAAACTCACCATTTGGATATGGGGTTTCACAAAAAGTTAAAAAATCAACTATAGGGTGATCCATTTCAAGAACTGTAATTGCTTTCCCATGCATGATTGTTAAGCTTGGTCTTCGGCAAGCCTTATCATATGACAGTCCACCAGAAAATATCACAAATGGTTCACTGTATTAAAAAACCCAACATAGTAATTATAAGTTTACATAGTTTACAATTATTTATATAATTACTATAATTACAAGTTTACATTATAGGTTTAGTACCTTTAAATAATAATAAATAGCTTTGCAAAAAGAAAGAAGGAAAGATTCTAAAAGGACTTTAACTCCAGAATGTAACACCGAGTGAATTACAGAATTAAAAACATACCTGTTTTTACAGGTCTTGTACTCTACTTTAAGAATTGGTTTACAAGACTCAGGTTTTTTTCCATCTCTTTGAATTTTTCCTAAGGAAAGAAAGAAGATGAAAACTGGATTAAGGCATCGTGATAATAGAACTATCAAACTAAAACATACACATTGAAGCAACTGTATAAGCAGTAAGAGAATGGAACTATAAAGCTACAGAAGATGATGAGTATTAGCTCCTATTTCCGTAAAATACGCACGTCTAAATTAATTTCATTTATTATGGCTTTATGTTTTTACTGCCACATACATCTAAAGGACCACAGACCACATTTCAAAGACATCTAAAATCCATGCAGATTACTGAGAAGGATGACACTTAACTAATAATTAATGAATTCGACCAAATGTATACCTTTTTTCTGAACACATTTATGACCACAAATAGCTTAATTTTTTCCTAAGTCATTCTTAGATTGACTCAATTCCTTTTGTTGAAAAAATGGTACATGCTCTGGGAGTGTAAATAGTTGAGCGATAAAATTAAATGAAGTGTGCAATTGAAATTCATGAGTTCTTGGTTATTTATGGCTCAGTACTTTCTTCCAGTCAGAGAAAAGTCACTTGTAAACCAAAAAAATAACAATTTTGGTTATTTTAAACCAAATTTATTTGGTTTAAATAAAGCCTATGCTTGTTTTTGATAACATGATTGGAGGATACAGTGTAGATGGATCCAGGCTGTTCTCAGAGGTGCACAGAGACATGATGGGAGGCAAAGGACTCAAGTTGTGACATGGGAAATTCTGGTTAGATATTAGCAAAAAAATTTGTACCATGAGGGTCATTAAATACCAGAAGACATTGCCCACAGAGGTTGTGCAATTTGTCGTTGGCAATGTTCAAGTGTTCAGTATCAGCTGGACACTGCCCTGAGATAACTGATATAATCAGGCCTGTTTTAAGCTGGGGGTTAGACTAGATAACTTCTGAGAGGTCCCTTCTGACATAAAGTACCATTCTATGACTAAAAATGCTAAAATAAAAGGAATTAGGAAATTTAAGAAAATGCTAAAACTTTTCTGGGCTACACAGATCTTGCCTTCCCCTTCTTTCTTCCTCTCCATCCAGTCAGGCTTCTTGGTAACTTATTGATTTGCAATAGCGTTAATACCTTTTAACCTCATTTATAGGAAGCAATGGCATATAAAGTCCCAGCCATAAAAGATACAGCCATTTCTTACTATGGCTCCTTTGAATTCTTCATTGCAGTGACTTGAGAAGCCTTGTACCATCTCTGTAACAAGCAACACAGTGCCTTGTACAAAATGTGTTACTTCTTGTGAAAATTGCACATACGAGCACATAAGTACAAAATATAAAAGAAAGAAATGTGAAAATCCCATAGCCTGAGGGTGTTAAAGACTAGCAGTAGACTATTAAGATGAATTGGATAAAAGAAGACATTAGAGCAATATTACCCAGTAAGAGGTATTTGTGATACCAATTAAAAAAAAAGTTTGATCAAAATTGCTCTCTGATTTTTAAAATATTTTGCAGCTACTTTGCAGATTAAAATATTTATGCAAGAAGCAACTCTGGATCTGGGCTACAATAAAAAATGAAATAAACATAGATATTAGCAAACAGCATGGAGAATATTGTATTGCTTCTTAGTTATACATTTGAACTATCAAAATTACCGTGTGGAATTGTGGTCTGGAATGGTCTGTTAGGACTTTTCAGATTCCATAGGGTCAAGCTGCCATCAGAGTGACTGCACATGAACTGTTTCCCTTCATGATGCCAAGCAACAGAATGAATAGCCTACAGAAACAAAAGAACTTGAGACTGAAATGGAATACAGTGTTTACACTAATGATATTTTAATGTATGACTTTGGATTATATTAATCTAGTGGTATATCAACAGTTAGATGGTTCTTGTTTGTCTAAAGTCCATTACCAGCACTTTTTAGTAACCAATAGCTGTAATCTACCGCTAGTCAAGCAAAAGAATTCATTATAAATGCTAACATAACACAATAATGTAAGAAAGTCTGTACTGAATCAGGCCAAAATTGAAGGAACAAGGTATTAAGGTAAAAGCATAAGAACAAGGGACATACAGTGCAATTGTAGTATGTCTGATAGCTCTCCTTAGAAGTATTTCATGTGGCAAACATACAGGGAATTCTGTGTGACAAGTTTTACAGGTAACATAAAACACATGCAGTCTTCCCCAGAGGACTATTTAGGAAAAGTAGAAATAGTACTCTGTTCTTGAATAATTTTTTCCCCCTGCATACTTAAGTTTCAGAGCAAGTACACAGAAATCTGGGATGTTTAATATAAAAACCAAACCGCTAAAGAGACCAGGGTTGTTTCATTGATATAGGAAATTAGCAAAACAATGATGTAAGATACTTTTGGAACAGATAGCGCTTCAGAGAAGAGCAATATTGCACTCCTATGTACACAATGCAAGTACCACATGATGAATGTTATGTATGCCAAAAAGCAACACTTCAAAAGTTAATAGACCGTTCTTAGTATTTTGTGCATAACTAGGGGAACTGACTGAAAATATCCATAATTACATCAAGCTAGCTGAAAGGATAATGGTGTAAGTCCTTCATTTTCACTGGTATGTGCTGGAAACTAGTAAAAGCCATTTTCTGGCAAAACAAAGTATTGCTTCATTGTGTACCACAGTTGCTCACACACACCCCTCAGAAGCACAAACTCATAGAATTTTCCCTTGAATCCATTTCCCTTCCAAAAATGTTAGCTGCCGAATAGCAAAAAACACAATATGTTTTTATGTAAATGTAAATAGAAGAGACCTGTTTTTGAATGCAGTTTAATAAATTCCCATTTCTGCAACCCAGGAAATGCTAAGGCCTTGCATGCACTTACAATTGCATATGGCCATTTACCTTATTTATTCAAATCACTTTAAAATCATGTCTGGGTATTCATAAGTCAGCATTGGAGTTGTCCATATCAATTTTGCTTAAGCTGACCACAAATAAACCTAAGTGCTACTGGTCACTATTCAAATCTCCATGTTGGTCTTCCCCTTTTAATAAGCATATTGATTGTTACGGTTGGTAACAGCTCATGGTCTGGAGGGAATATGAGAAGAAACCAACGAAAAGTCTGCGACCCTTTCCCAAAACTTTACGCAGCTCCTGAGGCTGGACAGCATAGCCACAAAGGAGCCTTTGCATGAAGATGACCCAGACATCTTAACAGGAATCTGACATGCCTTGTATATGAATGCTTTGCTAACACACTAGTAAGCTAGTCATGCCAATAAAGACTCAACAAACAGAGCTGAACAAAGTGAACTCTAGATCTTCGAGTGACATAATGGGTGTCACTCAAACTTCTACCTACCAGAGGGGGGGGTTGGCACACAATTCCTCTTAAAGACCCAGAAGATACCAAACTATAATTGAAGCAACAAAGGATAACACAGAAAGATGGTTCATAGAGAGTCCAATGCCATTGCCCTCAAGTAGTAAGAACCTTAGATCTGTGGGGAGCGCTGCTTCACTTACACGGAAGGCATGTCCATCCTCGTGCAAACTAATTCTGACATGAGCTCATTCATGCTTGCTATCATGCCAAATTTGAATCTGCTTTTGATGTGTTATCACACATAGAAACATTTCACATGGTTACAGTCGCTAACTGTGTCTGAGCAGGAGCTAGTAACTAGCAGCTGACAATTGTACCAAGCTGCTTGTTAAACTGCCTCTCAGCTGCTAGGTGCCACCTGCCAGCATAAACCTCCTGTTGAGCGGAGCTGAGGCAGAGCGCTCCTGTCACAGACAGTTGGCATAGCAGCAACTCAAACTCACCTGTTAGACTCTGCCCCAAAACAGGCAAGAAATACTTAGAATTGCTTTTGGAGGTATCAGCTGGGAGTCACGACTAATACTGAAAGGTGGTACTGAATAAGTCCCTACTTTTCTCTCTGCTAGGATGTCTAGCATTCTGAGACACTTCGTTAGCATCCACACAAAAAAGGAGCAGTTACTTGCGTAGAACAGGAGTTCATCATGGTGGGTGACTCATGTGAATGTTCACACAGTGTATGCACATAAAGCATATCACTCCAGATTGGGTATGTTTCTCCTTCTGCAATACCCACAGTGGTTGCACACATATTCCATCTTCTCTCATATTCAGCATGTACTAAAATTAAGCATGCCCAACACCATTTCAGTTCCTTCCCAATCACAAACCTCCTCCAGTTAGAAGAACTCATGGGGACTCTGGGACAACTTTTAACCATATTTTGAACAAGCACCATATTCATCTCATCCTACTGGTTGAATCTTAAGAATCCTTTGTGTTAGCAGTACTGCAGGACCATTACAGCAAGGGCCACATCCGACTTGGTACTTCCTTAATGGCATAGTGCTTGATAAAGGTAGGGAGCTGTCATTTGGCAAATGTCTCTGTGAACTCTACAGCTTCATTCTGGAGATGTCTTCTAATGAAAGATGATGACTATGCTTCAGGAATCTCTGAATGTGCGTTGACACAACCTGTCAAACTTTTAAACAGTTTGCGTATGAAGATGGCTGGTTTTTTGTGTCTGCCAACTATCAATAATAACTTGAGAATCCTTTGAAGGATCTGTCTTGTTTATGTGCTCTCTTTTTATACTAATTGATGGAAATAAACTTTTGAAGGAATTTATAAAAGGGCTTGCAAGGAAAGCCTTTTATAGAGGGCATCATATAGGAGCAGTGATTGAGAGGACCTGAATATCTCATACATATTGCCACTGAGAAGATGACAATCATCATCACACAAAGAAAGAAATTTGCAGCTGACATCTTGAAGAGCAGACACAAGATTCTTCAGCAGCAGAGAACATTTTAGTCTCTTGAGAAGCTTTGACACAGTAGAGAAGAAAACAAACTCCTTGTATCAGGAGTTGATGAACTGAGGCAGCCTCTAACCTGTCATCAGGGGGGCTTAAAGAGAGACAGGACTACTTTTAGCTCCAGTAAGTAAACTGTAAGTATCAGGAAGAAGCTTTAAAGGGAAGATACAGGTTTACAAGAATACCAACTGGAGAAGTTCCAGATGATGCAACTTGTACATCCTTTTCTATCCTTGGTGAGAAGCTCTATCATTTGAAATGAGCAGACATGTTTTATTTATGAAAGGTTCCCAGCCTTCAAGACATGAAGTATAGCATGATGAAGATGGAGTAAGGAATGCAGCTGTAAATGCTGCAATTGCAGGTCTGTGAACAGGGGCCAGTCTTCAGCTCCACCACTTACAAGCTATTGGGTTGTCTCAGTGAGTTGTTTATTCTAGGAGCAATGTGTCCATGACATTAATCTGGATGGCAAGGAAAATGAAAGGGCATACTTCTACAAGTATTGGACAGATCCTGCTAATATTGTAGGAAACAACTCACTTCCCTGTCATAAGATTACCCATGTTCTGAGGAGATGTCTGCAACATGTATCTTGTATCCACATCTGCAAGTCTCATGTGATGTGAAGCATCACAGTAGTATGACAATGCCATGCAACCTAGAAAGGATAGGCAAGATTTCACAGTGGTGATGTCCGAGTGGATTGAGAACCGTTATCTCTTGATGATCCTTTTGTCAGCCAACTGTGCAAGTGTGCATCTGAGCTGAGTGTCCACTACTTCTAAGACCTCAATTAAAAAACAGCACTCAACATAGTGAAAAAATTGAATGAAAGAGACCTTTTAATAATGGTTCTCACTGACAATGAAATGAAAGCATTTGATGAGGCTGTATGAAAAGAAATATCTTTAAATTCATGAGATATGGAACTATTCCTCTCTATAACAATTGAATGTCAGCAGATATAGTCCTCATCTTGAACTTAAAAAAGAAGAATATTTAGATTTGTAGATAGACAATCAGTTACCAGCCTCCTTTCCTCTTCTGTATCAAAAAATATCTGCCATTAACTTCTCTCTCTTGTGCTGGACAGTGACAGGCTCTACAGATCTGAATAACAACAGAGAGCCTCCTTCTCAACAGCTGGTCTCGGGAGACTGAAATCCAGTGCCGTCAAGAGTAACACAGAGCAATCCAGTTGAGGCTTGATTGTGTGAAAGGATGAGTATTCAGATGGAGTCTTGAGGGTGCTGACATTTATTTTGAGTGACATTACCAAGCTGGACAGCTATCTGAAGAAGATTACAGAGAAGAAAGAACTTGCCTCGGTGATGAACACTCACAGTCCATCAAAGACAAGAAAATAAGCTGTTTCTCACAGTATACACCAAGTGCTAATGGAGAAGCCTGGTGCCAGGGGAATTTTTGATACTAAACAGAAGTATCTGCTCCACTGATAAGCCAGAAAAGATGCCAGAAGAGGAAGTGGTGAGTTAGATGAGATTTCCAGTTCTTTCACCATCAAATAGGGTGACTACATTAGTTTCATAGAATCATAGAATCATAGAATAGTTTGGGTTGGAAGGGACCTTTAAAGGTCATCTAGTCCAACCCCCCTGCCACGGGCAGGGACACCTTCAACTAGATCAGGTTGCTCAGAGCCCCATCCAACCTGACCTTGAATGGTTCCAGGGATGGGGCATCCACCACCTCTCTGGGCAACCTGTTCCAGTGCTTCATCACCCCCAGCATAAAAAATTTCTTCCTTCTATCTAGCCTAAATCTACTCCCCTTAAGTTAAAACCAATTCCCCCTTGTCCTGTCACAACAGGCCCTGCTAAAATGTTTGTCCCCATCTTTCTTATAAGCCCCCTTTAAGTACCGATAGGCTGCAATAAGGTCTCCCGAAGCCGCCTCTTCCACAGGCTGAACAACCCCAACTCTCTCAGCCTTTCTTCACAGGAGAGGTGTTCCATCCCGTTGATCATTTTCCTGGCCCTCTTCTGGACTCACTCCAACAGGTCTGTGTCTGTCTTGTGCTGAGGGCTCCAGAGCTGGACGCAGTACTCCAGGTGGGGTCTCACCAGAGCAGAATAGAGGGGCAGAATCACCTCCCTCAACCTGCTGGCCACGCTGCTTTTGATGCAGCCCAGGATACGGTTGGCCTTCTGGGCTGCGAGCGCACATTGCCGGCTCATGTCCAGCTTTTCATCCACCAGTACCCCCAA